CCGGGGTATTGCACCCTATTTAAAGGATCATAGGCCTTCCCCAGCCTCCCCTTTACAGTTACTTGACACCCTTAAACCCTAATTCGTGTGAGTGTACTCCATTTGTGTTCTTAAGCTTGGGAAAAGGATTTTTGGTGGGAAGAAGCTTGGAGATCAAGTGACTAAGAGAAAGGAACGTGTGGAACCAGAAATCTACCTCAGTTGGCATCCTTTTTGGAATGTATTAAGCCGTTATCCTAACCCCCCTTTTCATTCTAGATCTATTTTGGGTGGATTTTAGGGCTTTTCTAGCTTATTAGGAAGCCTTTCTTGTGTTTGAGCTAAGATCTGAGGTTGCAACCTCATATCTGAACTCTCTTGGGTCTCTAAGTCCATAAAGTTTTTAGCTTTTTGCAAGAATGAGACTCTCCTAAGGTGTAAAGCTCCATTAAAAGCTTATATTGGTCATTTAGAGTCTCTAGGGCCTTGCATGCACGTAAAGTTTGCAACTTTACGTGATAAACATGCCTTAGAAGCTTGGATCTGCAATATGGAGCCATTGCATGGCTTAAAAAGTGTTGGGTTTTCTACGCATCAAATACACTCTAAAACTAGGTAGCGGAAAAATCGAAACAACGATATACCTAAGTGTACATGCAACCTATGGATCTATGGCTTCATGCTAATTACATCAACCCTAGAAAACTAAAACATAAGTAAGAAAACATACCTCTTATGTAGCCCTTGATCTCCATGCTTGAGATCTTGAACCTCCATGAAGTTGCTTGGATGAAAGGATCCAAACCAGAATCCCTCTAATGGTATCACACCCAATGACACCAAAGAGTGGAATAAAAATAACTAGGAGAAGGGTCAATTTCACAAACCCAAAGGGGTTAGAAATCGTCCCTAAGAGGGGGAGGAAGAAGGGATGGCGAAACTTCAAGCCAAGGTGCAAGGAGAAATGAAATCCCTAAGGCCCTATTTATAGCCTTGGATGCCTCCTAGGGTTTAGTACTCCTTCCCATGTGGGATGGAGGCCTAACCACGAAATTTCACTCCTTTCCCATGTGGGATGGAGTGATTTTCATCCAACCCTAATTCCATAAGGTTCTGGAACATTCCTGATTAACCAACTATCGATTAATGAACATTCAACCCTTTAATTAATTAAACTGTTAATTAATTCCCAAAATATATTTCCAAAATATATTTCCAATTAGTTTCTAATTAATTATTAACCATAATAATTAATAAACCAATTTCTCCTTTATTTATTCTACTCAATTTGGGTCTTGAGGGCAACCCAAAAGGACCCTGCTATTATTAGAAATATTAGCAATAGTTAATGACCTTGAACACTATTCCAATAAAAAGTACCTGTATGGATGAAGGTCTGAAGGGACTCGGCGAGTTGCATAGTCAACTAGGCGAGCCACATGAAGATGGTCCTGTACTCTGACGAGTTGGATGACCAACTCGGCGAGTCCGTTGAAGATTGTCGTAGACCCGATGAGTCAGTAGAATGACTCAGCGAGTCGGTTAGGGTTTTTCCAACCTTCAGACACGTATGGACTCGGCGAGTTGTAAAGGGAAAACTCGGTGGGTTGGCCAAGGGGTTACAGCCACTGACACTAGGAACTCGACGAGCCACTCGAGTGACTCGGCGAGTTGGCGAGTCATGCCAGGAACTCGGTGAGTAGCTAATGGCACTCGACGAGTTGAGGTCAACATGGATTATTGACCTTGAAAGTTGACTTGGAATTTGGGCAAGGGTTGACTATTGGACTTCTGGAAGTATCTTGGGAACCTATGAACTTTGTGATGTGTCGGATATAGGTGGTGGAGTTTGTGATGGTGATCCGAGAGTTGAGCTTTCTAGTTTCAGAAGATAATTGCGAGGTGAGTTATCCTCACTATACTAAGGGGTCTAAGGCACCAAGGCTGGTCCATTGAATATGTTATCCAAGTAGTGTTATTATGTTGAGTGTGGATTAGTGATTGCATGCTAGTGGTTATGCCAGTTGGGTAGATCTGTAGGGTTACCGGCGTTGTTATATGATTATTTGCATGCACAGTGGTTATGTTTATATGTGGACATGTTATGTGGGATGGGTTGAGGTGATACTGCTCCGTGCGGTAACCAACAAACCCGGGAGCATTCCAGATGCGAGCTAAGGGAGACTCGTACTGTGGGCTCGAGAGCATTCCAGTTACGAGCTGAGGGAGACTCGTACTGTGGGCTCGATGGCAAGCCAGATGTGAGCTGTGGGCCCGTAAGGCAATCCAGACTCACACCGTGGGCCCATGGGGTAATCCAGTCTGTAAAGCTGTGGACCCAGTAGATGCTGTTGTTTATATATGTGTTATGTGCAGTGTATCGATATTTTGGGGGAACTCACTAAGCTCTCGAGCTTACAATTTCAGTTTATTGTTTCAGGTACATCAGGGGATCGCGGCAAGGCGAATGCGTGATCGTACAGCTCCTCATGTTTTGTTTATGTTTATGGGAAAACTATGATATTATACATTTTGAAAACCAGTTTTTAATGTTTTGATGAATTTGGAATGAGTTTTAAAGTTAAATTTGGAAAAAAAAAATTATGGGTGTTACAATTATTTTTTAAACTAAATTTAATTATTAAACATACGAAAAAATTAATAAACCTCTATCCACCCCACCACCACCCCTACCTCCATCTTCCCAATTTTTTTGGTACTTATTTCCTTCTCTTTTATCTTCTCTCACTTACTCTTCTTTCCTTCACTGATTATCGGAATCTCCGTCTACCACCACCAAGATTTGAGTATGATAAGAAATAGATGATGAAACAGAGATTCAAGAGTAGATATGACATGACGTCGCTAACAAAAGGAAGACAACACGAAGTGGATGGTTATGGTGACGATGAACCCTACTAATAATGGTAGATCACTCATTTATGAAAAAATCATATTCAAACTAAAATTTATGTTCTCTTATGATTTTGAGTTTGGTTTAAGTGATTAACGTTTCAAATTATACAAAAGAACCCAAGTTGGTGGTTATTTTAGAGATTTAAGGCTTAATTTGATGTTGGAATTAATGATCCCCTTAATTAATAATTTAATTAAGTCAATGATGTTACAAAGGTGATATCTCATGTTTAGTTTAAATTTCAAACCTATTATAATCAATTCGAGTAATTGAAACTTTATGAAGTGTAGAAGCAAATTTGAAAAAATAGGGAGATTGACCATGTGTAGTTAGTTAACTTGGGGTTTGGACTTTGGTTCCATATCATCCATTAAACATATTACACTATTTCTTATGTTATAAACAATGCATCGGTTAAGATGTTTATGCTTTTATGGGATATGTTTATTGTTTACGAGTTATGATGCTTATAATAGTGTATCACATTTCTATAATGTTTTCTCCAAACTTTGAGTTAAAGATTTTTATTAAGTTTAAAGACATACGGAGGTACTATTTTGGCATGTGCTCATACCAGGGACGGACCCAAGATTTTGTAATAGGTGTTGCCGGTGGCACATGTTTCCTTTTACGTAGTGACACAAATGTAGAAAAAACCAAAAATTCGAAATTTTTTACACTGTATCTGAAAAAACAAGGGGTTGCCGGTGCCACTATGGGCACCATAGTGGAACCATCCCTAGCTCATACTCGTAACATTTCATTGGAGAAGCTTGGGATATTGAAGAACACTTGGAGATTTAGAATACCATTTTGTTTTGGAATAGTATATAACACTTACCTTTTGTCTCCTAATTAAATTGTGATACACTCATACATTTAAAACAACTTATTTATGGTTTCTTTGATGTTTATAGGACTTGATCCACAATTGATACTTAAATGGTTTTAAATTTGATTTTTAAATTAATATTCCAAAATATCCATACGATGTGTGTTTCATAAATTGGTAATGTGTTTTCACCATCGAAATAATTATACATCTCTGTTATCGACTGAACATTACTTTCCATATATGATTGTGTTATGTTCATTATTAGATTTTACTATTTCATTAACTGTTTTAATTGTTTATCAATCAAATGAATCAATATATGTCTAAGACCTAACAATTCATTTATTATACATAACATGAAGCTATTATATGTTGGGTTGTAGAGTCAAGTCTTCCATTTGACCTCATTGTTTTTATATAGACTTAGCAATAAGCCCCGCTCGTACAATCTGTGATGTTGTGAACACAAGGTATATGATGCTCGAGCTAATTTATGCGGTGCTTGATGGAAAGGTTTGCGGTGCACAGATCAGATGGCTTGTTCAGGTTGATGTCATTTGGGCTTGATATAAACAATGTTTAGGTCAAATTATTATTATAAATAGATCTTTTTGTACCTCTGTAACCTAAATAGAAATTCACATATGGATTAGTCAATCACTCTAATTATTTGAACTACGTTAATTCATCATGTTCTTATTTTGTTATACTTTTACAAATCATGACAACATCTTTTAGATCTTTTTCATTTAAGATAATATTCATACACATGAACCAATGTATACAAATCAAACTATTGTGGCCTTTCAAAGACAATTGCGGGCAAAAATTGATATAAGATGGAAGAGAAGCATGTGTAAATGAATAACACATGTTGATATAACATGGAAGATTAGATGCTCTTCCTTGAAGACGACGGATGACATTCAACTTGTGGCCTTTAATTATAATTAAGTTTTGTTCTAATTATACTTCTCTATGTTGGTTTAAGTGGTGTATTTCTCCGTTAAATGTTTGTAATTTGTAATTTGTAATTTTTGCTAGCTTCTTGCTAGTCTTTAATGCACTCTCCGTTAAAAAAAATGTATAACATAATAAGAAAGAGAGATCATATATCTAATAGTTGTCATGTTTTCATTCCTAACTATAAACCTTAAATGAAAACCGTTTTCCTTAATAGTTTTGACCATATTTTATAATTGAGAAAAAGATGGAAGGCCTTTTATGATAATATGGAAGTAAAAGGGACTTAAATGTAATTTTTTTCATCATCGCACCACGCAGCCGGACACATTGCGAGCTCTAAACCCCAACAGACGGTTCAATCTCCTCCGTCGGCCGTCGCGTAGCCGTGAGGCAAATCCAAAATTCGGTTAATCGGTAAAAATGAGGCGAGCTTCTACTCTCGCTGCTTCCACAGCATTATCCCGAGTCCTTCTGGCATCTTCAGAACAACAACGATACACCAGGCTCTTTCAGGTCACATCCTTTTACGGCGGCATCAATGCCGGTTCTCCCCGGCGATCATTTTCAACATCCATGAGATCCATATCTCGAGGCGTATACTCGGATACTGCTAAGTTTTTTCTGTCCTTAGGTGGTCTTGCCGCCGCTTCCGTCGCTGCTGGTGCCTCGTCATTGTTGGTGGAAGAAGAGGCTTATGCCAAAGAACTTCTTAAGCCTGATCTAGTCCCGAAGGACGTTGTGCTCTACCAATTCGAAGCTTGCCCTTTCTGTAACAAGGTTAAAGGTAATGTCTCATTCTCATGCTCTCCAAATCGAGAATCCTGTACATATCAATCAGTATCACAATTACTTTTATAGCCATGATAATAGGCAAATACATAATTTTAGCTTCTACAGACATCAGCGATTCAATATTCTTAAGGCGTTTGTATTTATGTTGCTTTCTCGATCAGCATTCCTGGATTACTATGATGTTCCATACAAAGTCGTGGAGGTGAATCCATTCAGTAAGAAGGAAATCAAATGGTCGGAGTATAAGAAGGTGCCCATATTGATGGTGGATGGTGAACCACTGGTGGATTCATCAGGTATTTCCTTCAACGTATTCAAAATATAACTGACGCTTCTTGTTTCTTAATCTCTTACTTTAACCTAAATAAACTATGTTGGATATTAATCTCAACCAGATAAGACTTATTTTACATTCAGTACGGTAATTTATCTCCTTTGAAGACACAATGATTCTTTCTTGCAGCCATTATTGATCAAATGGGGAACAAGATCATTCGTGCAAAATCTTCATCAGCTGATGATGAAGAGAAGAAATGGCGCAGGTTTGTAATTCATATCAATGTTCATTAGTAGAGAATGTTCTGAAACAAGAAATGTATGCAGGTGGGTTGATGATCACTTGGTGCATATGCTATCACCAAACATCTACCGCAACACTTCTGAGGCTCTAGAATCCTTTGATTATATTGCTAGCAATGGTAAAAGCTATATGTGTTCTTTTGCAGTTGACATATATGTGGATAATGTATACAAATAGAAAGTATATAATCATTCACCATGACAATGATGATTATAAATTTCAGGTAACTTCAGCTTCTCTGAGAAATATACAGTGAAATACGCAGGGGCCGCTGCTATGTATTTTGTGTCCAAGAAACTGAAGAAAAAGTATAACATTACTGATGAAAGAGCAGCTTTGTATGAATCAGCAGAAACATGGGTTAATGCACTTGATGGCAGAGATTTTCTAGGTCAGTTTTCCATCAAAATCAGACTTTGGACTTTTCCCATTTCAGATTTTGACTTTGTGTTTGTTGTTAATTAAGGGGGTTTGAAGCCAAATTTGGCAGATTTAGCAGTGTTTGGGGTGTTGAGGCCTATTCGATATTTAAAAGCAGGTAAAGATATGGTGGAACACACAAGAATTGGTGATTGGTACTCAAGAATGGAGATTGCAGTTGGAGAATCTTCAAGAATAAAAACATAGATTCTTAAAAACTTCAAGGCTAACCATTCTTATTATTCATATATTTTTTTGAGTGATTTTTTAATTCTAAAAGAAGGGAATTAACATTGATACCAGATATGAGATATGTAGGTAGGCATACAATAAAAATAGATCAATAAGACAAACATGTTGTTGGTTGCTTCCCTACAATTTTGAATTGCATTTTTGTTATTGATTGAATGAATATGAATATAATACACAGTTACACATCATTTGGTAATTTGTAGTACATCAATGTTATATAGTATGAAAAATTATTACTATGTTATAAATGTGATCTTCATGTATGGTCTATTGAATGAGAAAAAGGAAAAGCTAAGCATTAGATAATAGATATAAGAGAAATCAAATATCCTCCTCCTATTTTCTTCTTACCATCTTTCTATACATTTTAATTTGGTAACAATTGTCATATTTAATAAAATTAATATCTAAAGGTGAGAGGAAGATAGATAGGAATAAAAAATAGAAGAGTATTTAATTTTTCTAGATATAATTCATTACGGGAGAAAAATTGGTTATGTGAATTAAAATCTTGGGACAATTTCATTAGATAGTAACTAAGGTCTTGTGGAATGGTTACCATGGACATGGCTGAGGTTTCTTTCTAGCTCAACAAATAATACCACCACCCCCCACTACTATCATGTTGGTATACTCTTCACATGAGAGCTCTACACCACAAATCAACGCGACCACGATGACAACGAAGCCACCAGGATGTTATGCATGGTCGTGCTCGTTGCCAACGAAACCACACAAATTTTCTACGCTCTCTTTTTATATTTTTTTATATTACCAGTTTATAACATATTCCACGTCCAAAATTTGTGTGGTTTTGTTTACATATAATCTATAAAGAATTTGAGCGGTCTAAATTTGTTGGCTTTTATTCTATGGGAGTTGTCGATGCCAAGTGCGTAATTATTATGGGTTACCTTGCGCGCATGAACAACATAATATTTTAATGATTGTCAATTTATTCTGCCTGGTCGGTTGATAGATTTTGGAGAGAACTTGAGATAACACAATGCATTCCTATAAGATGAAGATCTTGAGTGTGAAAATGAACTCCTAAATTTTAATCAAACATTTAGAAAACAGTCAAAATGTGATAAGTGTACTCTTTTAAAGAAGTCAAAAAAAGATATGTATGTCATAAACAACTCCAATTTATGAACATGTTCACAAGTCAACTCATGAGCGTCTTTTTGAAGGATAAACGGTTCAGTAAAACTATCATTGATCTACCTCCCCAACAACCGCTTATACGAAGTTGTTCAAAAGTGCCTAAATTTACTGATCCACATGTTTTATGCTACAAGGAACCAACAAGACATGATTCCCACTTTAAGAATAAATCAAATTATTCAGTTCTATACATTAATCGAGTTCCAAAGTTATTTCAACCTAACATTAGGGAGATAAAAGATGTGAAAATGAGAACTATGGTCTTGGTGGACACATGTTGTTTCCCATGACCTTCATCATCAGCTCCATTCACTACCTCATCATGACCCATATCAACCTTAGCTTAATGTAGTTGGTCATAACCATCACCCTTATCAACGACAATTTCATAAATCCTTCACCATCATTATCCTCATTTGGTAGTTCCCTATCCTCATTAATTCATGCTTTTAATAAAGATATACAAGGTAAATAATGTGACAAATGTAGAATAGTTGCATAAAAAAACAAGGATATTAGTATTACCATCTCACATGGTGACATGTTATCACATATAATTTGTATCCCTCTTTACTTGCAATTTCTTCTATTATGTAGCCTGAATCTAGTTACATTATTAGCCCATCACCGTCTATTTTGACTACCCTAGGGGCAATACCTTATGTATTACCCTCATCAAACTCAAGTTTTACAATAATAGCTTTACTTTCATCACCCTTAGGTTGGCTAACATCATTCATCCCATTTTGAGTCCCTTTATGAAGAATGTATTTTATCCCATTTTCAACCTCATCCGGAATTTCACTTAGCCCATGATTAACGACTCATCATATACATGTTGACTTGCCATATGACCACCCTCACCATCTTCATTAACTTGACTTTCCTCATGATGATTCACTTAACTTCACTCACCAAGCACACATTTATCAACCAATTGAGCACTTTTTGTACCTTATCAATAACTTGACTAATTAATTCCCCAAGCAATTAACTAACCACATTATATCCCTTATCGTCAAGAACTTGTGTCTTAGGGGATGTCATACCAACTCTCCTACCACCTCTTTCCACATTTAGTTTCCTATTCTTTTTGTCAATCCTAGAATGATTTTTTTTTCTTGGCCTAGGTGTAGGTGCATTTGTATACAAATCACTCAAAACTTTTTTTCTCCAAGTTATAATAGTAGATGGATGAGAAGTTTTTTTTTTCTTTTGATTTGGAATGATATTTATAAGTGAAAGCCTTTTACTCACAATGGTCCAGAATGAAGTATCCTTGCTAGATCTAACCTCGAGCCCTTCACCAAACCACCTTGCAACAACTTTGATCTTCAAGCTTCACACCAATAATGATAAATAAGCCTCCAAAAGTGGTTTCAAGCTCAAAATAGGAGAGAGAGAGAGAGAGAGAGAGAGAGAGGAGAGAGAGAGAGAGAGAGAGAGAGAGAGAGAGAGAGAGAGAGAGAGAGAGAGAGAGAGAGAGTTAGGGTTTCACTTGGGATCGTTCTAGAGGTGATGGAGGCTAAGAAATGACAAACCCTAAGGGTTAATGACCATTAAATTCCCCAAAAATCCTAAAAACGCGCAACCCACTAGGTCGGGAGCGCCCCACGCTTCTTAGATAATTTCCCGATTCCAGTTTTCAGCTTCAGTTTCAAACGATCATAACTTATTCGTTCTAGCTCCATTTTCAGTGATCTTTATATGCACGCGGATGTATTGACAAGCCCACAATCCCATTGAATTATTTGTGACTTAAAACATACCAAACTAAAACCATTAATTCATGCAAGAAGCCTGAAATATCATATTTCCCATTTTACCCTTTTGCTTCAAAGCACAGTTCGAAGGCTTTAACCACTTAGCCAACATTATCAATATTCGATAAGGTCTAATCTCTATTCCCTCGAAGTCCAAGACCTTTACTCGATCAAATTACAACCCGTTATCCCGAAATTAGAATCATCCCGAAACTAGGTGTTACATCGCCGTTGATTTCTTTTTATGGTGATGCCATTTTTAACACCTACAAACATTACACCAGCCAACACGTTTGATTACACCATAAATGAAGAAAAAAAAATCAGAAATTACATCACAAAAGAACATACCATGTGTACGTTTTTCTTCGACCAACACCTTCAATTACCAAATATTTGCTCTGACTCTTGAAACTATACCTTAGTTTACATGATGATTTCTTGCAAATATCCAAGCTTTCTAGCTCCAATCAAGTACATAAAGTTGACGTACAGGGACACATTTGCCTTCTCGACGCATAACGTGACTAAATCCCTCTAAAGGTCATGTTTAACGAGTATATTGGATGTCACATCACCGGCTATGAAAATTGAAAAGTATCACCTACATAAAAGTCATGTTTAACAGTTTAAGGCATCTACATATAAATGTTAAGATAAAACCATCGATTTGTAACAAACTTAAAAGCTTTTTATAATTTTCTCATTTTCCAAATCTCAAAATTTGTTCATTTTAATGATTTACCCTTTTATAGTTAACAAAGTGCTATAATTCTCTAATTAATTTTGTAATTAATTAAAGATGAGGAAAAAGGTTCAATCTGTAGGAATAATATATACGTACACCGTCACGTCGAACACCCCAAACCAGTCTCTCTCGATTCAACAGACAACATCTTCCAAAGTTCCTGCGATTTCTTCTCTTCAATCGGAGATTCAGAATCGCAACCAAAAGCCAGCTTAAAAATGCAAAGATCTTCTACCAATAACCCTTCTTACTCATCTTCTCCTTCTCCTTCTTCATCTCCAAATTCACCATCTCATTCATCCATCACTGTTCATTCACACGTTGCATCATCCACAGACTCCTCTTCTTCTTTCCAATCATCATTCCCATCTTCTTCTCCTTCTCGTTGTTTTGGTCTCAACCTACTCGTTAAGGCAATCCATCAAGTTACAGCAGGATCGGTAGTTGGTGTTCCCTACATACAAAGAAGAATCCTAACCAGAAGAAGGAGGCCCATCCAATTCAACAACCTTATTCTCACTACTACCGATTTACTATCCAAATCGAGATCCAAATCGATATCCAAATCAAAGCCAAAAGCGAAAAGACAGAGGAGAGTTAATATGACAATGCCCTCTAAGTACAGAGACTCTGTTCTTCAGCCATTGACTCCCAAACGACGCTCAGAGAGATCATCCTCAGTTAAGATCATCGGTGAACAGTTTCATTAGTTTTTGTTATTTGATGCTTTGCCATCGCAGATCTGTTTTGCTACAGTGATGAATCATATATTATTCTTTTGGGGTGAGTATTTTTTTACTAGATTTTTTGTGATATCTGTACCTGATCTGGTTTGTTTAGACTACAATCGATGATAAAACTTAGGGGTTTTGGGGAGTTGGTGGGTTTTACAATCATTATTAGTTGAATTTTGTTTCGGCCAAGAGAGTATTTGGCCCCTTCGTCAGTTCCATGATGTTCTGTGCAATTTCTTTCAACATCTACGATCAAATTGTAGTAACATCAGTCATGATTCATGCTTGAATCTTTTCTATTCATCTGTAATTGCTTTGCTTCCTCCCCAATTAGCTTGGAAAACATATTATATGATAAATTTTGTAATTTTTTTATTGGTAAAGGTTTTGTTGGCAATTTGAGTAGCTTAAAGTTTGATTTTTTGCTCTGTAAGATGTTTAATCAATCAAGTTTAGTGTGTTCATAATTCAGATGCTTAATCAGTCAGATGTGCATTGCATTTCAGTGATTCAGTTCATGCACTTCATGAGTAGTCTTTGATCCAACAGGTACTTACTTATCAAGTCAAAGGTAGACACTTGATGGTTGGGATTTCTGACAAAAGGCATAAATCTTTCATGTGTAAGAAAATATATTTTGCAAGAAATATTTCAATTATAGCATTATACTTCAAATTATAGCATTATACTTCAAATATAACATCCTACTTTTATTTCTTTCGATTATAGCATTATACTTCAAATATTTTTCTTATTAAGCATTTTACTTTGAAAAA